AGGGGCCTCCTACCTTTTCCAATAAAGCAGGGAGGAAAGACAGTAAGGACATTTATTAAGTCCTACTATGTGCTAAGCTTTGTGTTAGGTGATTTGATCATATCTCATTTAATCTGCACAACCTATGAGGTACGGTGAGAAGCTATGCATGGTTAAGTATACTGGCTTTAATGCCAGGTGTCTGGGTTTCAATGTCAGCTGTGCTGCGTGACCTGGCAAGTTACTTAACTTCTCTGTGCTCTATTTCCTTTACCCTAATTGGTACAATAATAGCATTTTTTTCATAGATTTGCTGTGAGGACTAAATGAGTTACTACACATAAAGCATTCAAAATATCAAGGTAATATAAACAAAGTTATAATAAATAAATGAAAAATAAAAAAGTTCATTAAAAGTATTAGTAGAATTATCTTCATTTTAGAAATAAAGAAACAAGGTACTGGATATTCCCACATGGCTGACCATGGTTTGAGTCCCAGGTCTGGTGGCTTGTCTTCTCACTTTCCCTCTCTCTCTTTGCATCTCTCTCTCTCATCAAATTAAAATAAATGAATGACTAAATAAAATGAAAATAAATCATTATTTAAAAAAAAATGAGGAAACAGAAATGCCGAGAGGCGAAGAAATGCCCAAAGTTCTGCAGTGCATGGTGTAAGCAGGATCCGACCTGAACTTTTCTGACTCTAGGGCTTTAATCACAAAGTGAACTGTTAAACATTCCCCTTACTATTATTTCTCTACTTTTCCCATCATTCACTTTTTTTTTTTTGGAGAGATTTTCGCTATAGGGCGCGTGCGCTCGCCAGACAGACAGAGAGAGACAGAGAGACAGAAAGCGAGAAATCACCCCCCGGGGGGATGGTCACACCGCAATCCCTTCTCCTCCATTCTCCTCTTGGGATCTTGGGCACTTACACACACGCGCCCGGCGTGAATTTTAAGCCACCCAGTCAGGGACTCGAACTGCGGTCGACTACATGGGAGTCCAGCTACATAGGCATTACGCTAACTGCTGGTTCCCTCATCATTCACTTTTCACCTCAATGCTTTGCCCTTTGCTTCAAATGTTTTCCTTCCTCCACTTTACAGACGGTAAACTTTTATTCTTCCTTTGAAGCCCAGCTTAAATGCTCCTTCCTATGAACCTTCCAAGATCCCCAGCACAACTCATTCTCGGTTTTATTTTCTTGCAGTCCCGAGCAGCTGATAATGACCTCGCTCACCACCTGTACACCCGGCAGTTTATGTGCCCACCCCCCAAATCAGATGACTTGATTCTTGATCTCCAGGCCCCGGAGTGCCCAGCAAGGCAGTCGATCCTCACCGATGCTTATTGATTGTAATACAGTTGTTCTATTTTCCCACAGGTTGAGAAGCTGCTGATGGAGAAATGCTCGGAGCTCTCAGCAGTCACAGAGAGGTATGGCCGGCCCGGGGTCGCCCATGGTCTGCCAGCCCATCCCCCTGCAAGGGAAGGAATTGGCATCTTCTCTCAGAGGGAGCAGGGAAGTAGGGAGGCCTCGTGGTGTCTAAGAGATTCCTTTTCTGACTTTGAAAACCTTAAAAAAATTCCTTTGGGACTTTCTGCCCCATTTCCAAGCCCTAGGGAAAAAGCAGAAGAGAGGCTCAGGCATGGGGAAGGAATTTTTGAGAAGGTGGGAAAGTAAAAGTTTCCCACAGCTTCGAGAAGCCCCCGTGGCCCCTGAGGTCAAGGGAAGAGTCAAGGCAAGGTGAGAGCTGACATGCACACCCTTACACACACAGACATGGGCGTTCATCCACACTCACTCACTCACACGGATAAACACTCGCACAGTCACAGAAATGCACCCACTCCCTCTTCTCCTTATTTCGCCCACATAAACAAACATGCGATCACACTCAGACCCATGCACACACTCAGCCACACATGTACACCTGGGCGTGTGCTGACACCCTCCCTCACTCTTCTCAGCCCCCACGCCTCAGAGGGAGAGCCTGAGTCTTAGTATCCCCTAGCGCTCCATAGGCTTTGGTTTTCTGGGTGGCCACAGTTCCCGTTTGGATTTGAGCTTGGTTTCCTCTGTTCTTCCTGTCTGAGAAGAAGACCCTCCAGGCTGTTTTCTTTTTTTCTTTCTTTTCTTTCTTTTTTTCTTAGAGGTTTTTGCCATAGGGTATATGTGCTTACCAAAGAGAGTGAGAGACAGAGACAGTGAGAGGGAAAGTGAGAAATCAACCCCTGAGGTCTGGGGGAATGGCCATGCTGCAATCCCTTCTCTATTCTCCTCCTGGGATCTTGGGCATACACACACATGTGCTTGGCGTGAGTTTCAAGCCACCGGGCCCAGGACTGGAACCACAGTCGGCCCTGTGGGAGTCCAGCAATGTAACCACTATGCCATCTGCTGGTCCCAAGGCTGCTTTCTATATGCTGTAGGCAGCCATGGTTAAAGGTCCACGGGCATTGCCAAACGCCCTTGGAGTGAGCACTGGCAATGCCTGGCACCCCAACACCCTCTTCTCAGCCTCCCACCCCTCCATGCCCCAGACCACAGCGATGGCAGATTGTCCTTGGGAGAAGTCCAGGTGTGGACTTGCTACATCCTGATGGCCTTTCTTCCCAGTGATGGGGACTGTTCACCCCATCTCAGGCCAACACTTCCCTGCACACTGAGGGGCTGGGAGTAGGCAGCTGTGAAATATTCCAGGTCTGACTCCCAGAAAGTGGCTGTCTTTCCCCTTGGCCTCTTTCACATGCACAATCCCCTGAGATGCTCCAGGCTGACCACCTGGTCCTTCCAGGGTCCCACGCCATGGTTTCTCCTCCCCAGGTGCCTGCAGGCAGAGAATGAGCACGTCCTGAAGTCAATGAAGGCCTGTGTGAGCGAGACCCTGAGCACGCTGGGCCAGCACTTTGGCCAGCTGCTGGAGCTGGCCCTGACCAGGGAGGTGCAGGTCAGTGTGGGTGGGGCTGGTGAGAGGGGCCCTCAGGTGGATTCACTGGGGTAGGGGATAGAGGGGCTGAACCAGGATGGGGGAAGCTGATGAAATGGCCGTTCTTAGAAAGGATCCTTCTCCTAGCATCTGTGAGACAAGACTGTCAGAACCTTCTTGAGTATCTGGGCCAACTGCATTTTCCAGATGTGAAAACTCTAGCCCAGAGGGGGAAGAAACTTAACCGAAGTCACACAGCAAAGAGACAGCAGCGTCCAGCAGCTCCAAGTACCCTTACAGTATGGTTCTCATCACCCTGAATCTTCTGTGTTGATTCAGAGTGCATCTAATAGATTTTTACTATCCTGAGAGACTTGAGGCGCCTGTGGGAGACAAGCCAATTCTGGAAATCTTGGCAACAGAGAAGAATCTAGAAAGGTTCTAGAATCTGAACCCTGCCTCTAAGCAGGCTCATGCTAGATTCCAGAAAGAGCGAGCTTTGGAGCCTGCAGTTCTGTTTTCAAATTGTGGCTCACCATGGGACTTGGTCAAGTTCCTTAACCTCTCTCAGCTCCATTTTCCTCATCTATAAAGCTAGGCGCCCTCCCCAGGAAAAACTGGGAGGACTGAGCAAACAGGTTGAGGAGGTGCTTAGCACACAGCATGGGTTAAATACATGTTATTTCCCTCCCTTGCCTTTTGCTATTTCAAAAGCCTCCCAGTAAAGCAGATTCCATAAGGTTTTCATTATGAAAGGTATTTACATGTTATTTATAGTTACAGAAATACTGTGTTACATATTTGCCATTCTTTTCCCACCACCAAATAAAAGCTTCCCACAAATAACAAATCCCTGTCCATGTGGGCGTCTCTCCAACCTCAGCCTCTCTGCTGAGCCCGGAGTTTGCTTTCCCCTCTTCCCATCTGGTTCATTTTGCCCAGAATCCAGGCCTGGCTGGCCTGACTCACCTGCTGGTCCTGCTTCAGTCCGTACTCCTCAGGCCCACAGGGCCTGCACCCCATGTCAGTGTAGCTGGGTCCCAGCATTCTCAGCCTCCCAACCACAGAATGGCTCTTGGAAGCCATTCTCCCTGTCCTGAGGTCTGGGATGAAGGGAAAGAAGGGGCCGGAGGCCAGGGTGCTGAGACAGGCACTTAGAGCTGATGCTGACAATCACGGGATGGCCTAGACAGAACCATTCGGCCTCACAGGACCCAGGGGAGTGTGGGGGCCAAAAATGGGTGAAGAAATTGAGGGAGTGATGAGCAAGAATATCGAAGTTAGTGAAGGGGCAGGGGACCTGGAGGAATTTCTTTGTTTTTTTTTTTTTTTTTTTTTTTGCTCTTATTTATTTATTTTTATATACAACTTATCTATTTTATGTTCATTCACTGAGCATCATCACAGCATATCAAATGTGATTACTCATCCAGAATACGCTGTATAGTGGCTTAATCGTACATGTTGTCGTCGACCAGTACGGGGAGCTTGTTGTTGTTTTTTTACTCCATTTTGGTGCCCACTTGCTTGGTCATACCAGGTTCAATGAAAAGGGCTGATATGGAAGGGCTCAGCTGGATTGCAAACAAGAGTCAGCTAGGTCTGGAATTAGAAGCTCTCCCTGTCTAGGAGCATAGCAGCAGAGTGTCTTTGATACTCTAGGTCATAGAAGCTTGGAGAAAGTTCCCTGGAGCTGTCAGGAGCATATTTGGGCTTTTTAGACTATGTATTTGGGTCCATTCTGGTTTCCCCTCATTCTGACCTTGTGATCCTATTTCCCTGGCTGTCTCCTGTCCCAGTGCCAGGTTCGACAATCTAGATGACAGACACTCGACCTGGCATTGAACTGAATCAGCTACTTCTCTGTTGAACTTAGTCTCTCACTGGCCTCCCTGCCCTGCAGGGTGGCAGGGTTCTATTCTCTATTCATCTGCAGTTGTTTCCTTCCTGATCACCTCCTTTCCTGGTGCTTTCCCCTTCCCTGTTCCCATGCCCCATGGTGTCTTCTCAACCCTCCTATGGGCTGGGCACGCATGGTCTTCACATTTTTTTGTGTGAGCCTTAGCTTCTTTTTTTCTTAATTGCTAGAGGGTTTGTTCACTCATCAGAGGGAGATGAAGAGCAAGAAAGTGAGAGAGAGAGAGAGAGAGAGAGAGAGAGGGAGAGAGAGAGAGAACTCCCCAAAGGGACATGGTCATGGTGCAATCTCTTCTCCATCTCTTCAACCTTTTGAAATTTGGAGCACATTGTGTTTTTTAAACCTCCAGGTCTGAGATTCAAGACATGGTCAGCCATGTGGGATCTGGTTCCCTTTAACCAGACCAGGCTACAAGTCCAGGTCTTTGACTTCTTCTCACATTAGAAAGTTCCCATACAAAATAGTTGTGATATCAGGAAATACAATGGCTGAAGGAAAGCTAATTTGTGTTCAGTTGTAAACATATGTCTCTTCAACTTGTGGCTCAAATACTGTTTTCTAGGATGCTAGTAATTATACCAGGATCTCACGGGGGGTGCGGTGGGGTGGGGAATGTGGTTTCTGAATATAATAAAATTAAACTAATTTTGCACCAGGACTTCTCCTGTGATGTGGCATTCTGCTGTGCAAATCTCCCTAAAGTTTCCCTTACGTTCTTAGTATTTCTTATCTGACCAGTAACTTCTGTATGTGTAACCTCCACTGGGTTTGTTTTGTTCATGTGCCTATCTTCAGTGACTAGAACAGGCATAGAATATTAAGCACTACATTGCAAACTTACATTAAAGCACCTATTTACTCATTCTGGGATGCTGGTGTTTCAAGAAGTGCAATTTGGCAATCACTCTTTTAGCACTAGGAGACCATGTAGGCTCTTGAGAGAAACAGTTATTTCTTCTTACCACATACATAAAAATAATAAATGGTGAAACTCATCGTACTTACGAGGGCAGTGATGAGCTAGCAATTATGCTCAGAAGAGTTTTAGGAAGAAGGCAAGGGGCTAAAGATCAATGTATGTAAGGAACAGTTAGAGGAGCAGGGCATATTTAATCTGCAGATAAACAGACTCTCTGCTACCTACAAGGTTCTATGCTGTGGAGTCCCAAAGGGAAGACAGACATAGATCCAGTGAATAGAGTCTATAGGATATTCCATGTAAAAAGCAGTTTGCAAGGCAATAGGGCAACCCAGTGGTGGAAAGGGCTGCCTTAAGAACTCACCATTACTGGGGCCAGCAGGTGGTGTAGTGGTTAAGGCACTAGACTCCATGGTTGGAGTCCTGGACCTGATGGCTTGAAAATCATGCTGGAATGTGTGTGAGCATGTCCAAAATCCTGAGAGGAGAATAGAGAAGGGATTGCAGTGTGGTCATTCCCCCTCGGGGGTGATTTCTCATTTTCTCCCTCCCTGTCTCTCCATTGAGTGCTCATATCCTATAACAAAAATATCTCTCTAAAAAAATAAGAAAGAAAGAAAAAAGAAAAAGATGGGGTTACTTCATTACTAAGATGGGATAAGCCATTGTTGGGAAGACATAGACAGTAGATGGAGGTTGAATTGAATGGCTTATAAGGTTTCTTTCAAATTCAATAGTATTTAATTCTATGAACAAGAATATTGTGGGGATACTGAACTGAATCTGGATTTGGAGGCATATCAGGGTTCAAATCCTGATTGTGCTGCTTACTGGTTATGCAAATAGGGCAAGTTCCTTAATGTCTCTGACCCTTGGTTTCCTCACCTCTACAGTGGGTTGTAGTTGGGAGTTATATGAGACAACACAAGAGTAAGTGGTGGTACTCTCCTCATTTAGAGACCTTCTCTGCCTTGAGAAAATCCAGCAGCAAGCTTTGGAGAAGGTTCCTAATCACTTGGTTGTTTATTAAGATTATTTAACTACTTGATGGGGTATAAAAGAAGGTAATAATTAAATGTTAGGAGCTACTACTGGGAAATGAACAGACATTAGTGATTAGTCTACCTAGCAATAAAGAATCAGTCATGTGGGCTGTAAGGGGAGAGAAGACTTGGCCTACAAAAGTTGATTTACTTAAAGATGACTGAGGACATCAGTTCTCAATCTTTTTGGCACCAGAGACAGTAAGACAATATTCCAGATTGGGTAGAGGGTGTTGGGGGAATGGCTTACTCTCATGCACAGTTCGCAATAGGGTTTGTCCTATGAAACGCTAATGCTGCTGCTGACCTGATGGGAGGTGGGGCTCAGTGATAATGTGAGCAACGGGGTGCAGCCATCAATACAGATGCAGCTATAGGGTGCACACACTCGCCAAAAGGAGTTGGGAGGGAAAGTGAGAAACACCCTCCAGAAAGATGGCCACACCTCAATCCCTTTTCCTCCATTTTCCTCTCAGGATTTTGGGCACAAATCCACATGCACCTGGTACGTTTCTCAAAGTGCCAGGTCTAGGACTCAAACCTTGCAGTTGACTATGTGGGAATCAGCTGTCCTAATAACCAGGCTACCTGCTGGCCCCAATCTTTAATCACATTTTAAGTTTCCCTGGGAGAAACTAAAGTAAAAGAAGAAAAAAACCTGAATCCCTTTACTCTTTGGAATAATCTCAAAGCCTGAATTTTTAGGTTAACACAATCTTTTAAATTTTCTCATCGGTTCATCTCAGCCATAGGAACCCCTTTCCAGTGTGTGTGAGGATCGAGGAGGCTTCCTTTAGTACCTACAGTCCAGACTGTCTCTACAGCAACGGGAGGGTTATCTCCAGACTTCTCAATTTGTACTGGTATTTCCCAGCCATAATCGAAAGGGCCCAAAGAGTGAGTACACTAGGTATGCAGTATTATCACAACACTACCCTATATTCATAAATAGTTAAAGCAGATAGAGCCTCAGTCCCTAAGGCAGGAACCCCAGGCAACATTTTGTCTCAAGACGTCGTCCTCACGATTGCCAAAGGTGTTAAAGATGCTCATCTGTGGCTGAGGGTAGGAGGATGGGCAGTAGATACCTTCTGGTGCGGCGTTGGCAGCACGTCAGCCAGTTTATTTCAGTTGTCCACAG